GAATATGCTTTGATCTAAACCACTTCATTGTAGCTCTGGCTGTATGTTTAGGGTCGTTGTCCAGCTGGAAGGTGAACCTCAGCCCCAGTCTCAAGTCTTTTGCAGACTCTAACAGATTTTCTTCTAAGATTGCCCTGTTTTGACTCCATCCATTTTCCCATTAACTCTGACCAGCTTCCCTGTCCATGCTGAAGAAAAACATCCCCACAACATGATGCTGCCACCACCTTTCATGGTGGGGATAATGTGTTCAGGGTGAAGTACAGTGTTAGTTTTCCGCTACACATAGCGTTTTGCTTTTAGGCCAAAAAGTTAAATTATGGTCTCATCTGACCAGAGCACCTTCTTTCACATGTTTGCTGTGTCCACCACATGACTTCGCAAACTGCAAACGGGACTTCTTATGACTTTCTTTCAAAAATGGCTTTTGTGTTGCCACTCTTGCATAAACACCAGATTTGTGGAGTGCACGACTAATAGTTGTCCTGTGGACAGATTCTCTCCCACCTGAGCAGTAGATCTCTGCAGCTCCTCCAGGGTTACCATGGGCCTCTTGGCTGCTTCTCTGATTAATGCTCTACTTGCCCAACCTGTCAGTTTAGGTGGACGGCCATGTCTTGGTAGGATTGCAGTTGTGCCATACTCTCTCCATTTTTGGATGATTGATTGAACAGTGCTCCGTGAGATGTTCAAAGCTTGGGATATTTTTTTTTTTTTTTATAACCTAACCCTGCTTGAAACTTCTCCACAACTTCATCCCTGACCTGTCTGGTGTTTCCTGGCCTTCATAATGCTGTTTGTTTACATAGTTCTCTAGCAAACCCCTGAGGGCTTCACAGAACCACTGTATTTATTCTGAGATTAAATTACACACAGGTGGGCGCTATTTATTAATTAGATGAATTCTGTAGGCAATTGATTCCACTAGATTTTAGTTAGGGGTATAAGAGTAAAGGGGGCTGAATACAAATGCACGCCACACTATTCAGATAATGATTTGTAAAAAAAAATTTTGAAAACCATTTATTATTTTCCTTCCACTTCACAATTATGTGCCACTTTGTGTTGGTCTATCACATAAAATCCCAATAAAATACATTTATGTTTTGGTTATAACATGACAAAATATGGAAAAATTTCAAGGGGTATGAATACTTTTTCAAGGTACTGTACCTTATAAGCATGTTGTATTTGGAGCTATCAGTGCAGTTATTGACATAAGAAATGAGGCAGACTGGTGTTTACATACCTGTTTTTCTGATATCGATTTCTTTAGATCAGCACTCTCCGCACCTCGTGCACTTGATACAACCTGAGCAATTCCTGCTACCCAGCCAGCAAGCTGTTTCAAACCATCAACCTGCTTCTCCTTTTCCTCCTCAATAACTTTCTGCAAGGATACCAAAAAAAAAAAAAAAAAACACATCCAGTCTAGTTAAAATTGTTAACATGAACAAAAATAAATATGAACTACCCTTCACATGTAGTTAAATAGGTAGAAACATTAGTCTACAAGGCTTTACCTCTTCGTCCTCTAATTTCCGTAGAGAGTCACTGATGTATTTCACATGCTGAGTAGTCAAAGTCACCAGAGCAGTGTAGCGGGTACGCAGATCCATGAACTGTGAAAGAAATTAGGTCAGAATGGACTCATTCAAAGAAGAGAAAAAAAATACCTAAAAGATATCGGCATCTGCTTCTGTTCACCTCTTGAGTTATTACATCCGAAGATGACAACATCCGTCTTCGTTTCATTGGAGACTTCTGTTGTGATTCCACAAAAGCCTTATAAGCCATCAGCTGCAGTTCATAGTCCTGTGTTTGAAAAAAAAAAAACATTTTTTAATCAGATCTAGAAATGGCTCATTACATCTTACATATAATCAATGTTGATCATCCAGAATTAAACAACATTCACACAGACTGATCAGTGTTTTAAGTTTTATGTCACTAACCTTTACAGAGACGGAATATTGCTGGGAAAGGGTCTGACATTCATCCAGACGTGACTATTTCCACTCTATTTCAGCAACTAGAGCCTTAGAAAGGAAAATATAAGTATATGATCAAATTGCCACAATGCTCTAATAGAAATGGCTTAAATGATTGTAAAGACAGAATTTTTTACCTTAATGCATTCTCTGCATTATGGACTCATTTACATGTGTATTGGCATTATTAAAGTCTCATAACAGCCCATCAACGCCTGCCATGAATATTTCAATTACACCACATCGTGCTGTTCACACAGGAGCAGTAGAATTGTGTTGTGTCATTTTGTGTCATGTTAAAAATTAAGCAACCTGTTGGCTTCATGAGGCAACGATGCTTGTCAACCACTTCCATTGTTTTCAATAGTAATGCTCTGTAACGTAGCCTTAACAGCACCTAAAGCATTTACGGAGTGTTAGTGAAGCATTTATGAAGGGTTACCTGGTTATTGGGAGAAAGTCAGTGGAGGCTCTGGTATCCCAGAATGCACTGGGAAATAGTAGAGAACTAGGACAGAGCAACTCCAGCCACTTCCTGTTTGTACAGAACAGCTGTGTGGTAACTCCATTTACTTCTGTGTGTGGGCAAAATCATCAAGCCAGCCAGCATTTCTGAAAGTCCAAGGTAGGAACTGAGTCATGGAGTATTATGGTCAGTGGCAAAGCTTTTTGTGTTAGCAAAAGACCTCATCAGCATGTGAGTACATGGAAAGGACAGTGTCAGCAAGTGTCATGAAGGCTGATATTAATGTATCCATACTGATAGAAGAGGTGGAACAACACCTGGAATTGTTCAACCTAGAGCTACTGTCATGAATACAAAAAATAAAAATAAATCTGGCAACAGGTCACCAAGTGGGTATTATGTTTAGCATGGGAAAAACTATCCTCCAGGCACCAGGAGAGCAATAGTGAGTATGATTACGTGGCTGGTACTTTTCATTTTATATAATTATTGTAATATATCCTAAATTAGCATATCAAATTAGATAATTTCCTCTACAGTGCTTCCCCTTTAAGCACTTCCCACTAGAAAATCAATGCTTCCATGAACATTGATCAAGAATTCTTAAAACGTTTTCAACACTTCATAACAAAAACACATCATAAATGCCACAGAAGCATTAATGAGCATTGATTCATTCTTTATAATAAACGCAGGTGTGAACGAGCCCCAAGGTAAAAAAACATAAATAAATATTCTGTGTTCAGCTTCACTCCCTCAAATACTTACCTGAGGCTGATCTTGATCCAGCGCTGTGCCTGAGAGCAGCAGCTCTCTATTCTCTCCCCTCTCACTGGTCATGGAGAAAGCAATGGAAGCCATTGGCTCCTGCTGTTGTCAAGCACAGACTTTAAAGAGAGAGCGAGGGGTGGAGCTGCACAGGTGCTGTGCATGTCAATGGACATACAGAGCCTGGCTCAGGAATGAGCCTGCAGGAGTGCCCCCATAGCAAGCAGTTGCAATTGGGGGCACTAGGAAGGGAGGAGGAGCCTGGAGCACCAGCAGTGGACTCCAGAAGAAAAGGAGGATCGGGGGGGCTGCTCAGTGCAAAACCATTGCGCAGAGCAGATAAATATGACATTTAACAAAATTACCTGGACACTAATGGAGTTTTGCTTTATATCAGTTTAGATCATGTTCCTCCTATTGTGATACTATGTATTGCTGCCTGAAAGGTGCCAGTGCTTAGAAAAACAATATAAATAAACCTTTTGTTTTGAAATTCAACTGACATAATGTAACATACTGTATTATAAGGTGAATTATGAATTTAAACTGACAAACACTCTTTTGACTCTCACCAACAGAAAGTAATTCTGCTGGAAGCATAGGTTTTTTCACATTCAAAACAACAACCAAATCTCACATGTAGCCATGGGCAACATTTCCCCAATTTCATAAGAAAGATAAAAGTTTTATATTTCTCCTGTGTTGAGTTAAAAGAGGTTTACCATCTGTTGATTGAGTTGCTCTGACAAGACTCTTCTATCCTCTGACTGCCCTGGTTTCATCATTTCTTGCTGTGCTTTAGTTGCCTCTATCCACTGCACCAAATTATCATGGTGCCTTCTGTAATTTTTCAGCACATCTTTGATTGCTGCGAGCTCCAATTGCCTGAAAAAAAGGCGTAACGTTATAAATCAAGATTTTAACTTTTTAATAAAACTTAAAGCAGAAGTTTAATCTGCTTAGATTTTGCCTTCTTTTGTTCCTCCTTTCCCCTTTAATCAACATCCCAATAAAATATTTAAACAAAAATGTTAGATTTCTATGACATACCTTATTTTGGATCCAGTGACAATCACTGAATCTCTGTGCTGCTTTATGCAATGCAAACAGATCATGGCTAGTTGGAAGAGAAGGCATGGTGCTGTACAAAATTTCATAAAAACATCAACGCACTATGCCTTAGTATACCTCTTAACAGCTCTAAGCTCTGATGTAAGCAGTAGGCTGGCACTTTGGTGGAGTTATATCAAGTTATATCAAGTATCAAAATGACTTGATGGGTGGGTGTCAGTCTAGAGGAGACAGTAATACTTAGCATTTCCATGCAGACTTTCCCTAGTTACTCCCACATGTGATACTAAGCCTCCATGAATGAAAACCGAAATTAATTTAGATGGGTGGACCAGGGACAGTCTAGCTGGAAAAGAAAGGGATAGATGATGTTGGAGCTCTTCCAGACAGGAAATGGAGCAGGTTCTATCTGGCTTGCTACAACTCACAGCATGTAGTAAAATCAAACAAAGCATTTTCAGTACAGAAGAGGAGCAAATACAACTGTTCAAGGCAAAAGGCAAGGCTGTAATTAAGCTTTATATATCAACGAAAAATAAACTACAAAAAAAAAAAAAAAAAAAAAAACACCTTGTTTCTAGCTGGGTGTGCACTCCGCTCCATCGTTCTCGAAGTTTGGAGGTCTTTTCCTGATACTGGTCTACATCTAGACTGCGGTCTTGCGTTTTCTGATTTAAACGATCTCTTACTTCTTTTGCTTTAGCAACATCCTCTTCCAACAAAGAAATTATATTCTCCTTCTCCACTGCCTCTCTCATCCATTGCTGAAAAAAAGGTTTAGAACTACTATTAGCACCAGTTCTACATTGCTTTTTAAAACATAAATCTCAGGCCCCTTACCTGTAACAAGACTTCCTGACACTGAATAGCTGCAGGATCTGCTGGGATAGTATCTTCCTGACTCAAACGAGCCTCATATCCTTTCACCAGAGCTTCTGCTCCTTGCAAACTACGAATAACCACATCTACGGTCTTCAGCCTAATAAAATAGAAATATAACATTAACTAGCTCATAAAGCAGCATGCAATTCATTTCCAGAAACACAGACATTTATACAATTCAGCTACTAAAAAGCCTTTACTCCGTTTTGCTTTAAAAGACATTCTCTGTACAGTTCTACAATAGGGTTGAACACTAAAGCACACAATAATTTTGTCTGATATTCTCTTCATAGACAACCAGTAAGGTCTGATATAATTGGATTTTTGAATTCAACACAATATCCTTTCCGTAAAGTCTACTGAGGAACACAGGAAGTCTTTAAGCTTCAAGTTATTCGGAAACCTGCAGGAAAATTGGACACCGGCAACATCCACCTGGTAGAATTTAGAGAAGATGTGAAAAGAAGTCCAGGTACCTTGCCATGCAAATTTGCGAGGACTGGATCTAATCTACCTCTTTTGCTGCAGAAAGATTTCTTGTTATTCCTGATAAATGATGTACGTGATGTCACCACCTTGGCATTGTCCAAGTGAATCCAAATTAAATGACTCTCCACTAGAAAGGTCCAATGCTGTAGAAACAGCCAAATTGCCTGAAACTCCAGAATGATCTGAGGAGACGGGACTGCAACAATGGCAATGCCTCCTGCACCAACAGGGTGCCCAGGACTGCTTCCCAGCCTGAGAGGCTGGAAACTGGGGAGGATCCTCCAAAATATAGGAATGAAGGACTTTTCTGACTCCAGAACCACATTCCTGAGCCCGCAGGCCACAAACAACCTGGTCCTCAGCGATATAAGGTCAACATGTCCCGCGACAACAGAAAGTCTCTGTGTCTGGAGTTAAACTGGGCAAATGCAGCCATTTCAAAAACAGGCTACCATCAGATCCTGGAGTAAATGTGGGAGTCAGAAAGCTACTGGACTGGAAAGTTTGAATCTAAAACTGCAGTGTCTGAAGTTTCTCCTCTGAACTCTCAGGCCTGAAATTTGTCCTGGACTAAACCCAGATATAGCAACAGAACCAGAAACAGAACCTCTTCCAACAAAGATTTCTGAAGGTTCAGGTTCCATGTGAATTACTGTTCCCTCAAAAGGAGGTTGTCCAGGTATTCCACAGCTGGTGAATACCTAAGGTGTAGACAAGAGTCTGAAGGGCAGGGCCAAGAACTGGTAATGCAGGGGCCCCACAACCAACCAAAGGAATCACGGATGCATTGAAAAGATAGGGACATGTAAGTAAGTATGTTTAAATTCGCCCTGGTGAAGGGATGCTATTACAGATTGGGAAGTTTCCAAGTAGAATTTTGGACTGGAATGAAGTAGGGCTGAAACAACTAATTGACATAATCAATTATATTCAACTATCAAAACAGTTGTCAACCATTTTCATAATCGATTAGTTGGTCAGCTGATTAGTTGGCCTGCATCCAGAATTTGTTTACATATCAGAAAATACAGTGCAGAAAACATACAGTTCAGTACACCATCCATACATGTCAGTATACACAGTGCAGCACACATACAGCTCAGTACACTGTCAATACAGGTCAGTAAGTGTCTGAGAGCTTGTGAATGTGTGAGTAGCAATGCCTCGTGGGACATGTATTCCTGGGCAGGAGACGGAAGTGAGTGATTCTGAAGGCAGAAGGATTTTTACCTTGCTATAAAAGGCACTCTACGCTATACTTTGCGGCTTGCTATAGGGGCACTCTGAAGGTAGGAGGAGCCAGAAGAGCCAGTGGCAGACTCTAGAGGAGGAGAATCGGAGCTGCTCTGTGCAAAATCATTGAACAGAGCAAGTAAGTTTGACAAGTTTATTGTTGAAAAAAGATCAACTTCTGAACCCAGAGAAGCTGGAGGCTGATAGACTGGAGGTAATATAAGGCACAATAAGTAAAGTAAAAGTTTACCAGTATTGTGCATTATATTTAAAATTATTATATCTATGCACAAAAGTCTCAGCCTTTAGTACTACTTTAATATAAAAGATTTCTACCCTTCAGATAGCTTCATGTCGGACTCCCAGTTAAAATACCCAATATATCTGACTTCTGGGTATATTTATACTTATATATATATACACAAGTTATATGATGATAATATATATATATAAAAAAAACTGATATTTCTTTCACTGTTTCACAGTATATGTTAACCCCTTAGCATAGTGATTTATCTTCAGTTTTTGTACTATAAAGGGGCTTTTTTTTTAGTTATTTTTTTTTTTTACTTCATCATGACAGGTGAGAAAAAAGCATGCTGGTGCTACTAAATGTGGTACGCTGGCCATACATGTATCATTTTTCAGACAAGAATATTCATGCGTATATTTGAACAGAAAATCTTTGTACATATACTGAAAGGAAGAATGACATTCAAAAAATATGCTTGCTTTTAACATTCAATTTTAAAATGAACATAATCTCTGAACGAAAATTACATACAATGTCTGAAAATTTGTTTAATCGAGATGGGTTTTCTATTCTGTTCCTTTGAATTACAATTAGAAAGCCAGACAAACCTTCATTAAATGAAAACTTTTAAAGGAAAAATGTGTTTGTGGCCAAGCTTTTATGACAAGGCATGCATATTATTTTTAAGTCTTTTTAAAAAAAATGTTTCTTTCTATAAAAATTTTGATATCAGAGTCTGATATCTACCAAATTCAACCTCTACTAGTATATCTCTTCTGTCTGTTATTCTCTGAGTGGATTAAATATTTTGATCCCTAATTATATGGCTGTTTATTTATATTTACCACTGCATAGAGATACTAAAGTATAAATTGTGTTTTTTTTTTTTTAAACTTTAGCTAAATTATACAGACTTTTTTTTTTTTTTTTTAGGTTTTTATCCAAGTAATCGAAACAATCGGCCAACTAATCGATTATGAAAATTATAAGTAGTTGCAGCCCTAGAATGAAGACACTTTGAGATCCAAAAAAGAGGCAATTGCCCCACTGAGCATGACAACAGTAAACAGGTTAGAGTAAATGCCTGACTGAGAAGAACCAAAAGCATTCAAGGGAAATCGGCTAATCTATGTGGTGATTCAAGAAGGTTGTAAGCGAGAAATGAAGAAGGGCAGAGAGTGAAACTCCATTTTGAAGGTCTGAGACATCATCTCCGACACCAAAGAGTCTGTGACAAAAAGCTTTCTAAGTAACCGCAAAGCTTAACAAATATCACCTAGCTCTGGAAAGTGGGGGTGCACCGTCATGCAGAGGAAGACTTGTCTAATTATTTTTACAGACTAATCAGTAACATCTTGCAAGTGGACGGGAGCCAAGTTTGGAAGGAGGATCTCAACATGTGGGTCAAGGGAGTAGAGAAAGAAAAGGGGCATTTCTTACAGATAATGAGGGAGATGAAGTCTGTTCTTTAGTCTTTTTCCACTGAGAAAGATGAGTGATTGTGCCACCAGTTGCATCCTTAATGGTATTGTCAAGAGCTGGTCTGAAGAAACACTGTCCAATGAATGCTAAATGTGGAGACCAAATGTTTTTACACAAGGGTTCCGCAGTCCAGCACTTTAGTCAGAGTGCCCTCTGCATATGCAGTGACATAAGATACAGGCAAGAAATGGGATGGGAGGCTTATAGCAAACCACCACAGTTCAAATTTAACTACATATATCTTATTCACACATTATATAAGAATGACCATACACATTACAATCTATCCATGCAATCTTTACACAATCAACTTTAGATTCACCAAATGTATTACAAGGATCTACCTAATCTATAAAATCAGTTTGTATACAAACAGGCAGGCCCTGACATGGAAGAGGTGTTGAAAGATCTAAAGGAGATTGTACAATCAGATTTTAATGTGTGTGTTAAGTAAGGAATTACCTCAGCAGTGGTCAGATCTTTCTTAGGCGATTTTGATCAATCGGAGATGGTTTGACAAAGTAAGGTCACAGACAAAATTGGGTGAAGGTCAGGGCCAGCAGCAAGAACAGAGCTCTATTTAGGACTTCCAATGCTTATCAGTTGGGTCCTTAAAGGCAGGCATGTCCTCTACCAAAATGATAAGCGACCAATTTAGGCAGGAAACTACAGTTTCAGGATGGAGTGCACTGCATCAATAAGACCTAAAAGTCTTCTTTAATTTGGGAGTAATAGCTGCAAGTCCTCAAAAGCAAGTTAATCAGTCAAGGAATAGAGGAATGTCGAATTAGAGTCTTTTCTTACAAATCAAATACAGAATCAGCAGTAGAGGATGCTAGAGGGGGTGCTGCTTGTGGCTCTACAATCAGAGTCAGCAAATAACTGGGCGATTTGGATCATAAAGTCTTGCATGACCATGGTAAAAACCTCAGCCAAAAGAGGGGAGGATCCAGCTACACCCAATGGAGCAAAGAAGAACTCCAAAGACCAACATAGTCTAAGGTCAGAGGATACCATGTTTCCAGGCCGAAGACACTGGCACAGTCAGAAGACCTGCAAACTGACCCGGAACTGTGAGCAGGACGTGAGCTTGGGGCAACTGCTCCCTAAAACAGTCTCCCAAACTCTGCTGTATAGGTAATAGGCATGGCAGTAAGGTACTCATGAACCTGGAAAACTAGTAGCAGGGGAAGTTACGATAGCTGGAGATGTGTAGGCGGGAAGCTGGAACATATTAAAGACTGTAATCCAACCTTGCTCTTTTCAAGCAGGAACAGCAGCTGGGAGATGCTTCCTCAATGCTGCATGGCGGGAAAGAGAACAGGGATCGCACAACATCAGCACTTATTCCCATAGCATTAACCCTTCTTCACCCAAAATGGCAGGAGCGGGAATTAAAGGCAGATTGTCTCCCTTGCCCTTCTATTTAAAATGCTGGTTTCTTCCCTCAGAGCTCAGATCCTAATTGTTGCATTTTTTCCCCCCTCATTACCCCCACCCAGAGGGGACTTCTTCCCAACTAACCATACCGTGGTGTCTCTGGTCTAGGTTGATTACCTTTTGACCAGTTTGGTAATTTACTTGCTTGTTCCCGCTGTCATTCTCCTTACTGGTTGGCGGGAATTCTTTTCTCTTCTTTTCTGTTTCCTATTTTTTTTTTTCTTTCTTTCCCTCCCTTCCCCTTTTTTTTTTTCGGTGATTGCTGCTAGGGGGCCTGTCCCTTACCACATTGGGAATTCTAGACAGTCCGTCCTGTTCTGTCAATCCTCCCTCAAGATCCTCTCTGTGAATGCCAAGGGCCTTAATGTCCCTGAAAAACGGTTGCAGTTCCTCCATGACTTCCACAAGCAAAGGGCCCATATTGTGTTTATACAGGAGACACATTTTCAATCAGATAGTGTGCCCAGACTTACTAACTCCTGTTTCCCAGTGGTGTATCATGCAGCTATGGGGGAATACAAATCCAGGGGGTATCTATATTCCTTGCTAAAGACAGACAGTTCTCGCTACAGGCTCGGAAAGCAGATCATAATGGGCGATTTTTATTTCTTAAAAAGGCAAAAATCGGCCACCGTCCACTAACTCTGGCCAATATTTATTGCCCTAACAAGGGCCAGGTGGGCTTCTTCCGGGAATTATGCGTACAGTTGGCAGACTTTGCAGAAGGTCTTCCGGTGGTGGGGGGCGATTTCAATGTGCCTCTCACACCTTTATTGGACTCATCCACTGGTGCCTCGTCTCTACCTTTTAAGGTTCTGCCTAACATTCAAAACTACCTCTCAGATCTCTCCCTTCACGATTCTTGGAGGGTCCTGCATCCCTTTTTATGTGTTCTATCTTTCCCTTCCTCCTCTCTTTATTCTACTTTCTTTTTTCCCTTTTACTTCATACCTTACAACTCAACTAGCTACTTCCAGTTATTTTTTTCTTGATTAAGATGTGGGTTTATCCCTATGATGTTCAACCACTCCCATGTTTTGTTTTCAAACTGACCGGTACATAGTTGGCCCTGTATGTTAGTGGAGGAGTCTCAGTCCTCCTTCTGTGACATGACTATTGTAAGCAAACCCTTCCCACACTGTATATACTGTTCTTTACACATCTATTATAGGGGCCCAAGTGCTCTTTTCTTTGTTATATGACTGTTGGAGGCTTCTGATAGAGTAACATGAGCTTATGAATTAAAATTGTGCAAGTTATACTGTTCTGCAACAGTTTTAAAGGTTTTGCCCTTTTTGATCTATAACACTCATACATGCTTGGATGTTACCACATATCTGTACCAAGTCATATTTGTTAATAAAACTCCTTATGGAGAAAAAAAAAAAAAAGTGTCGGAAAAGGCTTGGTCTTCCAAGTGGTTAGAAGAGAGGGTGATGTGTGGCATAAGCTTCTAATGTTGGACATAAAACTCCAGTATAGTAGAGGCACCCCCCCCCCCCCAAATGACTCCTTTTAGGAAAGCAGACACTCCAAGGTTATTTGCTAAGAGGCATGGTGAGTATTTTGTAGATCTCATTTGTTGCCACAAGTTTTTGGAAAATGAAGAAAAGAAAAAAATACATTTGTTTACTTTCTTTTTCAACCCTGTGACAAAAAAAAACGATATCTGAAAAATACCATGCCTCTTATCAATCTCCTTGGGGTGTCTACTTTCCAAAAAGGGGTCTCTTGGGGGGGAAAAGGTTGCCTTGTTGATGTCAGAGGTGAATGGTCAGACTGGTTGGTTGCTGCAACATTCAGATGTTAGGGTCAGAATTTGGCGTAAACAACATGACAGCATAAATCCTTCCTGCCTTGGTTCAGGCTGGTGGTGGTGGTGTAATGGTGTGGGGGATATTTTCTTGGCACTAGCAAGGTTTACCTAATAAAAAGTGGCCAGTGAGTGTAGTTTGTAGACGCTATAACTTTCACACAAACCAATATACATGTATCGGGATTTTTCTTTTTAACAAAGACATGTAGCAGAATACATTTCGGCCTAAATTTATGAATAAATGTGAGTTTTTTGGATGTTTTAAAACCAAAAGTAGAAATTTTTTTTTTCTAAATTTTCGGTCTTTTTTTGTTTATATCATAAAAAATAAAAATCCCAGTGGTGATCAAATGCCACCAAAAGAAAGCTCTATTTGTGTGAAAAAGACATAAATTTAGTACATGTCAAACAGAGTTTAAATGGTCTCTCTCTCTATGTTCAAAAAAGGAACAATGATTAAAGGATAAGTTCAACTTTGAAACATGTTACGTGTTCCACCCTAAAAACATGTTCCCGAACCTGCAGCCGCCACCTGCTGCCCCCCTCTCCCTATGACAGAAGTATGGGAAGAAGTTCCCTGTACTAGCTGTCACTTTTCAAAAACAAAAACAGTCCTCTGTGAATGAATGGACTACAGGTTCTGACAGCCTTAGTGGCTCTCGGCTAGTAGTCCTCAATGAACGGCTCACAGTGCCGTGGTAGTTCATTGAGTCTTCCTGTCAGAAGTATCAGCTTGCTCATACAGGATGTGCAAGCAAGCAGATACATTGACCTGCATTGCATCAGCGATCATCAGATCGCTGGGGCAATGCTTTAGAGGCTCCTAACACAAAAGACAATAAATGCAAATTTTTTTTTACCTGCAAAAAAATGTGCATTTATTATTTTTTGTGTAAAAGTGAACTTGTCCTTTAAGGCCAGATTAGACCAGATTTTGATACCATTTTTTTAGTATTACAAAGCACTCACTTTTCTAGGAAAACAGAAGACAAGCCATATACATGGTCCATTTTCCCAACCAGCAGGTCTAGCTGTGAGCGAACATTTGGGGTACTGGAGCCAGAGGGTGACATGTTGAGGAAATGGTCACAGCGTTCAGAAACCAGCGACAGCTCAGATTTTAATCTCTTGAGTTCTTCCTGCATCCTCTACAGACAAGAAGCAAGAGACCATAATCAGTGAAAACAGCAAAGCTGTGTAAGGACAGTTTTACTAGCTAAACTAGTACCAACCTCTTGTTCAGATATCTGGATAGTACTTTCATGCACAGCATCCAAATCGCTACCCAAGGCAATCTGTAATCTCTTCACCAGTCGTTGCTCACAGTCCTCCAAGTGCAAACGAATGTTTTGAAGCTCTGAAAGGTAGGTCTGTGCCACAGACTCATCTTTATCTTCTGTAAAAGAGACACAAAGATCATGTATTTTCCTATCAGTCCACCAAAACACTACTAGCATTGATCAACCAAAACAATATTAATAAAAAGACCCCATCACAAAACTTCCCGCACCAAGTAGGCTCTAATGTTTAGGTTTATCTGGCACCAATGTAAACACATAAGAAGACAGAGGTAAGAAATCAGTTGCAATATTATAGAGTGTATCTAAGAGATTGGAATTAAAACCAAGACTTCAAATGCCAGCAGTTTACCTACAGCACATCCAACAGTTAAAATGGCAAGCACTTTCACGGAGAAAAATTAAGTCCTCCAAAGCTATGCAAGTGTGCTACAATTCAAGCAACCATAATCAACTAATAACAGCATGTAGAAGCAGCATGGTTCAGCATGATAACTCTGGTCTCTGTTACTTCACCAAAAAAACTTTAAATTATACGTCTCCCTTTCCTAATTTATTCTGTTCCTTACCAGTCTCAATAAGGTTCACAAGTTTTCTGCATTGCTCCTTACACTCCTCCACTTCTTGTTCCATGTTCAGACGATCAGTAGGTGAGAACATTTGGGAGTCTTTGCTGTCCTCCATGAAATCATCCAAATGTGACTGAAGACAGGAAAGTGTCTGTAGCCTCTCTGACAGAGGAAGGACCCTAAGCTAAAGGCAGATAAAAATTTGTCAGAAAAGGCATATTTAGGTTGTGAGAGACTTAGGCATCATACATCCAGACAACTCACCTTGTCTGCATTCCAACTCTGAACCAAATCAATGTCCTTCCGCAAATAATTCCATGATATTAAACTCTTAGTGTTTACATGTAACTGATGCCAAAGAGCCATGACTTTCTGATAAAGTTGTTCCACTCTGCAAAATGTGAGAACACAACCACAATCATGTGCACAGATCTTTTGCACAAAAAAAAAAAAAAAAAAAAAAATGTATTTACCTGGTAGCCATCTCCATTGCTTCTTTGTTTAGTGGAGGGATGAGAAAACATACAGATGGCACCATGGCCTCATTTCCGGTAGTGCTAATCACTTTCCACTTTGTCCTATGAGAGTTATCTTCAAGTACACATTCCTCATTTCTGCTGATCGTAATCTGAAAAGCAGTAGAAGCATGTGTTTAGTCCTGACAAAATCACATTTACTCGAAGGCCAGCACCCTAAAAGTTATTAAATGATTGCAACAGATTTCAGAATGATTTAAGATAAGAGCAGTAAGCAGCTTCACATTAATTGACCATGAACTTCATTTAATGACTGTGTTTGGTCTGTTAACAAAAAAAACAGCATGTGGAAAGAGAATCATATAGCAGCTCAGAAACCCTACCTCTATTTGCTTATAGTCACATATTGCTTTGATAGGCAGTGTACCACTTAAACTATGTTCAGGGTTCCTGGGCCTCAGCTGAATGATGTTCTTGGACCTTCCCACCAGGCTGGCAACTGTGCTTCTAGACTGGATGAGTTGCTCTTTCTCATCCTAGAGAGAATTCACATTTCCAATGAGAAACATTCCCTTACCAAGCAACACACACATTCTAACAGGGTGACATGACAAAAAATGGTGGTGGTTCATCTCACCATGGAATCTTGCAACATGTCTTCCAGACGGTTCATGCTAGTACTGCGATCACACGAATACTTCCTCTTGATTGACTCCTGGAGATTCTTCAGATAAACTTCTGAATCTCGTACATCGCTAAAAAACTGCAGGATGACAACCCAATAATGATTTGATTACCTGAAATTTATCAAGGATACAGATCTCAAAAAGTTAAATGGACATAAAAAGATACAATACGTTTACCTGGAAGTAAGCAGAATTCTCCCTTATATGTTGCTCCACACAAAGACACAACTGCTGGACCCACTGCCACTGAGAAACAACTGCTGCACTGTACGCCTAGAGTAAGACCAAAAAAGCAAGAAAAACTGAGACATTTAGAATGGCAAGACTGTGTATAAACTGGACCTATGGAAACAAGATCCTGTCAACCAGAAATGTTTGCTAAATTTTGTAAGGGAATATGAATACAAAATATATATATATTTATTTTTTTCCTCCCAGAGGGCATGAACTATGACAAATAGCATGAAGACCAAAAAATAATAGGTGTAACAAAAAATGTTGAGGAATAGTTTTTCACTATGTGAAGTGCCTGTGTTTTCCAGTAGTATGTGCTGTCCAAAGTCATCCTAATGCAATGCAAATACTATTCCATTAAAAAAAAAAAAAAATGTATATCACTTTTTTTTTTTTTTTTTTTTTAATAACGAGGTAACAGTTATTCGAGTAGCAAATTAACAATTGAAAAACATTTGTGCACTACTTTTTATCCCACTGATACAATGACACACCCTCTTATAAGAAACAAACTCTAAAAACATGGATTTTAAACTTTGGAAAATTGTGTGAGCTCTGCAAGAAAATGAAAATCTTTACCCCCCAAAAAACTTTCTAAATGGCAACTTTGTGCAACAGAGATACCTGGCCCAATACACTCAAAACCAAGAAGTCTTGCTGTAAAACATCCTCTGCTTTACATATTTTTCCAAAACTACTATTAAATCAGACTAATATCAAAATTATGTAATGTAGATATAATATCCTTTAAGAATATGTAACAGGTTTCCACTTGCAAAATAAAGAAAAACCTTTTATTGCATCACATCGATAATATAGACCACGCACATAAAGAGGAACTAAACTCTTTTAATCACCATTTCTCATCCTTATGCTGCTAGCATTAGAACAGATAGTAAGGTATATTATATTTCCTTGTTTTAAACTTTTTTTTTTACATTTCTTTAGTTGTTTCCTGGTTTCTGGCCTAGGCCAAATGATAACATGCATCCTAGGAGTCTTCATGTGCATTTTTGTTTTTCTTTCTTCTCTGGAAGACAGGAGAAAGGGCCTTCACAGCCAATTCCACCCTCCTGCCTGCATGCCAGAGCTAAGGGCAGATGGATTCCATGGAGTAAATGCTACATGAATCATCTGTCCTTACTGAAGATGGCCACGGCTAAAAATGCTAGGAAGATGTTATTCAAGGCAATTTCTCAACTAAAAAATGCATGAAGACATTTATGGGTGGGCGAGTTGCTTTCAATATTAAAAATTATTTAAATAGTGTTTTCAATTTGTGGTTCTCAGATACAGATTGGTTCTACTTTAACTGTAGCCATACAGATAAAAACACACTCATTGCCAAGTAGCTCTTACACATACCTCCACGGTTTGCTTTGCAGGATGATTTTCGAGGGACAAGAGTTCAGCTGTCTCTTGCAAAGACTGAATCACATCCTGCTTCTGTTCCAGCTCTTCAGTCAGTTCCTAGGAAACAGAAAATCATGGTAGTACTACTACACTATCAGATTTCAAGGCACTGCCAAGCTCAAATTCAAGTCACACAAGACGGTAGGCTGTGACAAATATAACAAATTAAAATATGGCAGCTTAATCATGCAAAGGGATAGTTAACTTGAAAATATGAATTGTTCCACACTAAACTTACAGTAAAGTATTCTTTTTTTGCCTCCATGTTAGAATTTCCATCACTCCAGTCATAAGCCAGCTCCTCTTCTTCCTTCTCATTTAGACAAATAATCTGTGCTGTTGCTCGAGACACAAACCCATAAAGGCTCTCCAAGTGACGTAAGCGGGAACTACTTGTCTCCTACGAACACAGTAGTGATTATTCATTCTTAGGCCATGACAAAAAATCTTATGTGTTTATTAATCAACCCAGTGCATTTGGTAGTGCATATCTGCCATCCTCCTATCTTAAAATTTACAAAAAAAAGGGGGGGGAGTACACAGACTAACAGCATTCTGGATGGAGTCATTCATAGAAAATCAGTGATATTATCTAACAAAACTAAGCACTAATCTACTTTATGTAAACTTGAACCTAAACGTGTTATACCTACATTCCCATACAGTTACAATCAATCAGTACATCAGGAGCTTACCCTTAGTTTGCAGTACTGCATTTCAAGCTTGCTTAAGGTTTCTTTATAACTACTGCGGAAATTTGGAGACATTTTAACCTGTCAAGACAGAAGTCCAAGAGGCGTGAATGTCTGAGCCACTCACTGTTAAATAACAATAAAATTGACAGCCAATAATAAATAGCACCCATAAAAGAAAACAATGCAAGCACTAACTCTCCTTTTAATTATTGCATATGTTCTTTGACAAAATCCTTAAATTGGGTTGTGCAGGTCTACAGGAGTACTTACTAAATCACAATGAGACACTAACCTCATAGCTTCTAGCTTCTCGCAAACTTGAGGTCAGCTCCTCCACACTTGCGTGGACTTGGCGCTGAATTTCCAGCTGTGACTCCACACTGGGAAGATCACTACCCCATTCTGCGCGCTCCAGTTTCAACTGAAAAATGGAGCATTGGTCAGAGAGATGAAAATTACATATATTATTTATATACCACATGAATCTAAGCTCATTCAATCAGAAACTATGTAACCAATGAAATAATTTTCTCTGTAGACTGGTTAACTCACCTGCATTTCTTCCACCCATGCAAGAAGTTCATAGACAAATCTGAGGCTACCCTCATCTTCAGAAGAAGACAGTGCAAGGAGCTCTGCCCTGCTCATTGGTTTTCGAAACCATGATGTGGAAGTAGGTGCTGAAGTATTAAGGGTTTGCTGGTGAGATGTGTTCTTGGATGTGGAAGTTTGTAGATCGGAGTTGAAGAGGTTCCCTCTCCTATACAAATTGGAGTACTCAAGCCTGAGCGTGAGAAGTTCATCCTGAATCCTCAAAACTCTAAATAATAGATAAAACTGATATTCACTGATATTGATCTAACAGTCAAGCAGTCCCTCAGATAGAAAATGAAGGCATGGAATTAAATGAGTCCAACAGTTTTAATGAATGATGCTGATACTACTTTAAAAAGTATTTTTTGTCATTTTCCAGATTTTGTTTGCCTGTGCCAAAAGTCAGAGTCAATGGCAAAGTCCATGGCAACACACCGTCATATTTAAAGACTAGCAAGCTATCAGGATGAAATGATTAAAGTAGCAAGATTATATATATATTTTTAAAGCATGCTCAGCAATCCCAATGGATATGAAGCCAAACATTAACACAGTAATGAAATGCAAAAAAAGTACAACATTGCCCTATTTGATACTTGGTATCTGCAGGGCCAACAAGGGGGCCAGAAAAGATACTTATTGATATTCTGGCCCCCATGCTGGTCCCACCCACAGTAGGAATAAATTTGCATTGTTTCCATGGCACCATATGGTGCTGCAGGGCTCTGAAACGTGTAGCCACACACCTCTGCATCCAGTCCAGTGCTCCTGTGCGTTGCAGCCTGGATCCTGGGATTGCTTGGCTCATCTGAAAGTGGCACACAACCTTGCTCACGGCCACAATAGCAGTTCGACCATCCTCCCAGTAGGCTCCCCTGAAGCAGTGTTTTACATGATGGAGACATGCTTTGCCATTGCAGTGAAAAGTGAGTTGCCAATTGTCTGTTAATAAATTTGTGTCTACACTACTGCACATAGTCTGATATCCTCTGCATTTCCATTTCTTTTGACTGGTAAGACCAAACTACAAGCCAACTTTAAACATGTGTCCTTATCAAAAACATATAGCAATTCCAGTATCCACTGTTTTTAGAATCATGATACATTTAATCAGGGGGATGTTCCGGGCACCGAGCAAAAGGTTTTGTTCTACATTTAGCCCTGCTGCGGCCTACTCCAGCACTGGCAGAAGTTGAACACAGAGAAGCCCGGCTTCTAGCACAGCAGCACAAAACCCTCATTGCTCTGCACATGACAGCAGAGGAGAGGGCGGGGGAGTGGTGTTTTTCTTCAATGTGGTTGCTGTTCTGAGCGAGTTCACGGACTCATGTCTCCTATGAAACATCCCTTTTTAAATCATAATGTATTGTATTATAGCCTGTCGTAGCCCCGCACTCTACTGTAGCTAATAATCTTCTGCAATGAAAAGCCAGCACTTTGTTTTGCTTCTCTTTCCGAAAGAAGTGCATACATACTTTCCTGACTTCTTCCTATTGCCTGTCAGTCCTGGGACACTGAGCCCCCTCCAGTCCCTGCAGCATACTGCTGTGAGCTGCTGCTCCTCTGCTGTTCCCCACCTGAAATGGACATCTCCAGGAATCTCCCTGACCAAGTGCACTGTGGTGTATGACATGCAACATGTGCAGTACAGTCACATAGGTCACTCACACACAGCATCACCCCCCACCCCACTTATCCCCAATGTCCCCCCCTCTCCCCGCCCCATTTATCCAAATGCCCCCCTCTCCTCCACTTATCCCCAATGTTCCTCCTCTCCCTCCACTAATCCCCAATGTCCCCCTCTCCCCCACTTATCTCCATGTCCCCCTCTTCTCCACTAAACCCAAATGTCCTCCCTCTCTCCCCCTCACGTATCCCAAATGTCCACCTTCCTCTCCCACTTACCCCCAATGTCCACCCTCCTCTCCCACTTACCCCCAATGTCCACCCTCCTCTCCCACTTACCCCCAATGTCCACCCTCCTCTCTCACTTACCCCCAATGTCCACCCTCCTCTCTCACTTATCCCCAATGTCCACCCTCCTCTCCCACTTATCCCCAATGTCCACCCTCTCCCCAACACTTATCCCCAATTTTCACCCTTCTCTCCCACTTATCCCCAATGCCCACCTATCCCAAATGTCCCCCCCCCCCACCTATCCCAAATGTCCTCTTCTGCCCCACATCTCCAATTTTCCTCTCTACCCACTAAACCCCAATGCCCCCCCCCCCCCACACTTATCCCCAGTGTTCCCCCCTCCTCTCCCACTTATTATCTCCAATGTCCCTTCTCTCCTCCCACTTCTCCCATGCCCCCCCTCTTCTCCCACTTATCCAAAATGTCCCCCTCTTCTCCCACTTATCCAAAATGTCCCCCTCTTCTCCCACTTATCCAAAATGTCCCCCTCTTCTCCCACTTATCCAAAATGTCCCCCCTCTTCTCCCACTTATCCAAAATGTCCCCCTCTTCTCCCACTTATCCCAGATGATTCTCCTCCCCCTCCCCTAATCCTCAATGTCCCCCCTCTCCCCCACATTAGAAATTAGCACATTGCCCCCTCACCCCATTTAACACCAATGCCTCATTAACTTGGCACCATTGTCATCCCCCATCAACCTTAGCACTAATGCCCCCTCTCCCCACTTAGCACTGCACTCCTACTGTAAGTTGTAGCTGCTCTTCTGCAGCAGCCCCTCTCTCTGATACTCTGTAGGTGGGGGAGAGACGATTTGGGGGTGGGAGGAGGGGTCTGTACTAGAAGGGGGGGCTGTAAACTGTCTTGTGAGATATCCAATCCTCAGCCCTGCACGCAGCGCACTCATGAACCCTGCACGTAGCACACTCATGAACTCTGCACTCTGTACGCAGTGCACTCATGAACTCTGCACTCTGTACGCAGTGCTCTCCTAAACTCTGCACACAGTTCACTCCTGAGCTCTTCACTCTATACGCAGAGGACTCCTGAACCCTGTACGCAGAGGACTCCTGAACCCTGTACGCAGAGGACTCCTGAACCCTGTACGCAGAGGACTCCTGAACCCTGTACGCAGAGGACTCCTGAACCCTGTACGCAGAGGACTCCTGAACCCTGTACGCAGAGGACTCCTGAACCCTGTACGCAGAGGACTCCTGAACCCTGTACGCAGAGGACTCCTGAACCCTGTACGCAGCGCACTCCTGAACCCTGTACGCAGCGCACTCCTGAACCCTGTACGCAGCGCACTCCTGAACCCTGTACGCAGCGCACTCCTGAACCCTGTACGCAGCGCACTCCTGAACCCTGTACGCAGCGCACTCCTGAACCCTGTACGCAGCGCACTCCTGAACCCTGTACGCAGCGCACTCCTGAACCCTGTACGCAGCGCACTCCTGAACCCTGTACGCAGCGCACTCCTGAACCCTGTACGCAGCGCACTCCTGAACCCTGTACGCAGCGCACTCCTTAACCCTTGCACGGACTCCTGAACCCTGTACGCTGACTCTGAACCCTGTACTGCAGAGGACTCCTGATACCCTGTAGGCAGGGGACTCCTGAACCTGTGGGGGTGGGAGGAGGGGAACCCTGTACGAAGGGGCGCACTCCTGAACCCTGTGTGAGATAGCCAATCCTGAAACCCTGCACACTGTGCACTCCTGAACCCTGCACGCAGCGCACTCCTGAACCCTGTACGCAGCGCACTCCTGAACCCTGTACGCAGCGCACTCCTGAACCCTGTACGCAGCGCACTCCTGAACCCTGTACGCAGCGCACTCCTGAACCCTGTACGCAGCGCACTCCTGAACCCTGTACGCAGCGCACTCCTGAACCCTGCCCTGTGCAGTAGTACTGGTATTTAACAACGCTCCATTAGGACCCTCCCACTGTTGGACAATGTTCCTGCACCTATTTTCTGAGAAAAAAAAAAAAGCCCTGGGGAGCTGTTCAATCCCATCCCACTGGACACCTGATCAAGGTGTCCCCAGACACCTGATCAGCTCAGAAGCAGAACCATTCTGTCCGCCTCTGATACAGAAAACAAGTAAGCAATGAGCATACATCACCCCGGTTTCCCTGGGGTCATTTATAAAAATGGAAAGCATTTGATCACCTGATTTTGGTGTGATCAAATACTTTTAAGGGCAGAGGAGGGATCTGGGGTCTTATTGACCCCAGATCTCTCCATAAGGCGTATCGGTTACTGCCAAACTGCTGTCACAAGGGATGTTTTAAAAATATATATAACGTTTGGGAGTTCTTTGAAAATTTCTGCAAAACTAAAAAACATTAAAAGTTTAAGCCATCATAAAGCCTGTTTTCGTTTTTAAATTTCCCAGACATTCCTAAAAGCACCTCTGCCTAATAAGAAACATCAACCCTTCATATTTTCCATTCTGGGAAAAAACATTTTTTTTTTTTTTATCAGGACAAGTATTTCGTCATGAGCGACAAGTAGATTGGGACCCCAATTTAGTCCCTTGGACAAGAAGGTTTTAAAAAAAATTTCCACACCCCTGATTTATCAATGCATGAAAAACAGTTCATGCATATTATTGCAAGGACCTATGGGCTTGGCTTTTAAGAACGTTCAAAAAAGAACTAAGAACTCAGTATACTAATGTCAGGCCAATCAAGAAATGATTTCCAAGAAGTCACTACAGGCCATTGTACTCTTGCCCTTCTTTTTTAAAAAGACCACTACTAATAAAACTGAGCAACACACAAAAGATATGCAAAGACATCTTTTTTGATGCCCTGGCTTCAGGGAAGAGTGCATATACCACTCTCTCGGTTTATTGCTATGTGAGAAGAAAAACAATTGTGATGCATCACCAAAGCCATATGACACTGCACATTTAGTAATAATTTACTAATTAATACTGAAGGTGATTAAAAAAAATCTCAGAATATTGGGAGACTCCTTCTATAACAGGGGTCTTGAATTAAAATTTACGGAGGTCTGATCAGCAAAATTTCCTTCCAGCAGAAGTCCGAATCTAGTTAGCGATATAACACATCACAGTGCCCCGGTACATTATCATCTTTAGCATACCTTTCACACTATAGTCCCCTCTACAAAAGACCCACAAAAAGAAGATACAGCACCTCAATGGCTAATGAACAGGATATATTTATTGGACGTAAAAAATGACAATGCACATCCCATACATTCCCGCCCTAAAACCGGCCCCCACCCCCAAAGAAAAAACCTCCAGAACGCACAGCTCCACCCCAACAATATCCCCCTCCACACACCCTCAACCCCGACAGCACAGTCCCCTCTTTAAAGAAGTCTCACAATGTCCTCAGTTCCCCTTCCCATCACAGCGCCCCCTAACACAACGCAGCACCCCCTAACATAACACAATGCCCCTTTTAATGCAAGTCTTCCCCTGCATAGTCCTATGGTACCTTAGGCAGAGCAGAGGCTCTAATTCTGCTGGGCTGGTCCCACCAGCCCGCCACCATGTCATCCTCATAGCGGGTGGGGGTGGAAGGAACTGCAGATCGGGACTGAGGGGCAGGAGCTGCCCAAGTTATTATGTTGACAAGTGGGCGATTGCTTGGCTTGTTAAAATGAAAAGACTCCCGCTTTCTGTCTGGAGCTGCAGAGAGTGGAAGTCTTTACATATTAACAAGCTGGGTAATCTCCAGCTCTCGCCCCTCAGTCCCGATCTGCAGCTCCTCACACCCTGCCCACTGAGAGGATGACATCGGTGGCGGAGTAAGAGGTCAGGAAGAGGACAACCAGTCGCGGCACTGGCACTGCTGCAGTCCAGACAGGACTGTCCCTCGGTCTGGTTCCGGACTGCGGTCTGCTATTTAGTGACCACTGTTCTATAGGAAAGGTTACAAGGACAAAACCATAAATACAAGCATAAACACTGCCCAGAAAACCTAAAGAGAAAATCTCCTCCAACATAAGGAGCTGAAAAAAAAAAAAAAAAAAACAAAATAACCATGTACCTCTAGTAACCACATACAATCCAGCACTAGAAGGGATAAGAAAGATAATCAATGATTTGCAACCCATAACATAGGATGAAAGACTGAAAGAAATATTCCAACAATCCCCAATGCTGGCTTTACGGCAACCACCCAACCTAAAATATAAACTAATCAGCAGGAAACATGATTCTGTTTATAAAGTCACAAATAAAGGAACCAAGTTCTGGAACAAAAAACACTGCAGCCAAATCAATCCATCAAAAAGTGCCACACATACAAAAGGAACCTAGAATTTCCCAGAATCATGCAGCTGTACTTCCTGTAATGTGGTGTACCTTGTCTAATGCAAAAAAATTAACAAAGGATCTTATGTTGGCAAAACACGAAAGAAATTACAAACAAGGAAGAATTTACACAACATTAAAGAACATAAGGAGGAGGATTTCTGCACACCTATGAGACATCACTTCTCATAACCAGAACACATTATGGAAGACATAAATGTTCTAATATTTAAGGGGAACTTCAAAATTACTCATGAAAGGAAAACTTTTGAAAAAGAATAATAATTCTATTTGACACAAAATATAGTGGACTAAATGTGGACCTCGGTTTTCTAAATCACTATCCAACAGTTTTTATGATCAGTATTACCTCTGTGACCATTGTACCCCCTTCCCAGTCTATAGCCCTCTCTCCTTATTTCACTAACCAAGTTTAATTACCATTCCTGTGTATGTTTGTGCTTTTTTTTTCCCCTAAGAGATCGTCTTACTTAACATTCTGCTAAAACTGTGTACTAGTACTGCTTGGACCTTGAAGCTTGTCCTGAAAATTTGGATGTTTGCATAAAAAAAAAAAAAAAAATGCATCACAGACAGTACCCAAATGTCTTACTTAATACTCAAACTCCTAACACTCAGCTAAAACAACTCACTTATCGTGTATTACCTGAAAGCTAGTTCCTCCACCTGGAAGTATTTCTCATCTCTCAGGATCTGCACATCTGCCTGCAGCTGTCGCAGAAGACCTTCACTCTCTTGAAGGAAATGTAGAACCTCTTCTTCTTGCTGAGTTCTCTGGCCACATTCAACATTAGCAGCATCCTGAAAAATTTCAAAACACCACCTTAGGACATAGCAGAAAAGGTACATATTAACCTTACATCCGAAAGGAAAATTAAAGTGGTTTTAAAGACTGAAGGTTTTTTTTTTTTTTTTACCTTTGTGCTTTCTATGCATAAAAAGGTAAAAAATCTTCTGTGTGCTGCTCCCCCCACAGCCCAAAAATACCCCCTCCCAAATCCACACCAGAGCCCACTCTCAATCCAGCGATGTGCAGGGGTGCCTTGGCTGTCCTGTATCTCTCGCTTCTCACGAGAAGCCAATGGCTCCCACTGCTGTCAATCACAGTCAGTGAGCCAATCAGGAGAGAGCAGGGGGGTGGGTGAGCCGTGGCTCTATGTGTCTTATGGACGCATAGAGCAGGGCTCGGGAGCAAGCATGCACCAGTGCCCCCATAGCAAGCGCCTTGCTATTGGGGGCACTGATATAGGGGGGAGCCAGGAGCGCCGGCAGAGGACATGGAAAAAAGAGGGTCAGGGATTCTCTGTGCAAAACCATTGTTAGAAAAAAAAAAAAAAACTTTAAACTAATCTGGGCCATAAAAAAAACAGAATGAATAAAAATTGCTAAACACTAGAGGTGTCAGAAACACTGTTCAGGACTGCAATGGTTTACCAACAAATAAAATAACAGTCATTTTCATAATTTTATATAACATTATATAAAGCAAGATTGTACTTGAGGCCAACACACAAAATACATAATAAAGCAGTGAAATAAAATATATATATATATATATATATTTATATATATATATATATATATATATATATATATATATATATGAGAAACAATGTAATTACCCTCACGTGACTGAGCCTTTCCAGTAAATTATATACTATTTAATCCTGAATCTAAAGCAATATTTAAATGTATAAAAATCTAGGTGCAAGAGCTACAGTATAAACTGCAGTGACTTGGTCACTTACCGATTGTAATGTATTCCTCGCTAGCGTCAGCTTCTCCTCACAAGTCAAGCAACCATTCTGGATCTTGTTCGCAATGTGCAGGAGCAGTTCAAGTCTGCAGATGTAGAAGAACAATCCATTATTGCTTAGTGTACAGATAAAAAAAAAAAAAAGAAAAAAATCTATAATCACTAAAGAAAACCTACCTCTCTACTGCTGGTCGTAGGACCTTCTCCCTTTCCAGCATAGATAGTATGAGTTTTCCCCACAGTTCCTCCACATCATTGGGATGAAAGGATGGCGGGAGCTTGATTCGGCCAAATTCAATCCAAGTCTTACATAGGTAACAAAGTGAAAATACAAATTACTAAGTATTATTCACGTGAAAGATCCACTCTGTTTGTAAAATGAAGATGCGTGCTAAAGGGCATTTTCTTTCTACCTGTACTGCTTTTGCATTAAAGGACAATATGCCCAATAATAAAAATTCAGTGTCTGGCAGAGAGGTAAACAAGCTGTCAGCTTTTTGTACCACTCCAGGGCTCTGTTAAAGTGGCTGTAAAGCCAGATCCTTTTTTGGTGCCTTAATGCACAACCCCCTGGCTTTTATCAAACAGGCATGCTGGAAAACCAGCATCCGATCAGCACTTGCAGCCAATGGCTGGGGGAGTGCCGATCAGTGTGTTCTTGTGGCCTCTCAGTTTTTTTTTTTGTTCAGCCTGCTGGGTTGAAAAAAAAAAAAAAAAAAAAAAAAAAAAAACATACTCCCAGCGTGTACCCCGTGTAACTTGACAATGATTCTCTCTGTTGGAGTATCACAAACAAGAAGTCAAAGCCTTACTCTGTCTGCAATGCTCCACCAATAACCAAAATATCAATATTGGGTGGACTGCCTTCTTAATTCTAAACTGCCCCTCAGGAGAGCAGAAGTCAGCTGGCTTAGAGTCCACTGAACCCTGCATGGACTTAACTTATGAGTGAACACAGGAATCTGTCCATAGGCCAGAGTAAAAGACAGCATGGAACATTTGTTAAAGTGCAATCTAAAACGTTCGTAACGGTAGACATATTTATCTCTACAGGGTTCAATGTGCTCTAAAAAAAGTGTCAATGAGTAATATAATCACTTGATCACTAAAACACACTAATGAGCACATTACAAAATGTGCAGAACTAAAACAGAAAAAAGTAGGATAACATGAATAATTACGATTAAGTAGAAAAAATAATCTTCTAGGTACAAGAGAGACCATGAAAATGACAGGAAACGTCAGCAGCTGAAGAGCTAACAGACAAGAAATCTCTAACATTTACAATCTAAAACATTTACCTGTAACATCTGATATATCTTCTGTATTTGGGCTTTCTCTAGCTCTTTTGTAGGAATTTCAGTTTCTTTTACATGTACATACTGATTATAAAGTGCCTATAAAGAAAAAATAAATGAAATATGTGATTGTGTACGGTGTTCCGAGGCATACCTTTCCCCTGTATAATGGCCAGTGTCATCCAAATTACCTTTAGTTCCACAGGGTTCTGCGGGAATGATTTGTCAGACATCAGTAGTACATGCTGTCGGATCCACTGTGTAAGGGACATAACTCTTTCCTGGTATTCCAGCCAGCGAGAATCCACTTCCTACAAACAGAAAGCAAAGCACAGGTATAAGCAGCTAACCACCAATCGCCTTTCTAAATAACATCAAGGTCAAAGATGTGCAGCAAAACACAGCATCCATTCAGTATTAAATTTTCAGGTTTTTATTCTAATCAGCCAAATAAAATTGATCTGTGATTAGCTGCCCTTAGTGCATTGGTTTCTCAGTACTTATTTCATGATGAAAACTCACAGTGGCACCGATCCCTCTCCTCCTTCCGGGACTTTGGGAAAGGCATCATATATAGAAGAGACATACGTGATCACAGACTTCTCATCTGGTGAATCTACATCAACATCTAAAAGACAGGATATAAGAAGAATAAATAAATAAGTACAACCATCTTCTACCCATAAACGTGCAGAGGATGCACTACAGCTGCACATACCTTCGGCATCTAATAATCTAGTGACACCCAGGTTCTCTGCAATTTCAAATGCTTGCTCGAGGTTCTCCCGGTTACTCTGAATTTCTACTTTCTGCATGTCTACAAGGTCAGGTCTGAAGGCAAGGGCACAAAGGTTAGAACTCTTCTTTACAGTAAGTAGCACATAGAAATACCATAAAAAGATTCACCTACCTATACCGGTGTATAATGGCATTGAACATTTTGCCATCACTCCAGCAGGAAGTAAAGTTGGTGCACTTCACCCCAACATATCCCGCCGTCACCTTCTGCGTCCATAGGAGCAGCTTCTCCTTGGCAGACATATCTCCTGACTCCCCGCTAACATAAATATCAGAGATCTACAGACAGAGATCACAAACCTTATCAGTTCTGTAACACTGCTCCATCTTTCCTCACACCGCATAAATTAAAGTGTGAGATTTCACACCAACTACATGTTCTGAATATGTGCTGAGATCATTTCCAGAAAACCTGCCCCAGAAATTAGTTTACTACTGCACACTTCTTAACAGAAAAACATTTTGAAACAAATTCATTCAACAACCAACCCTAGTAAATGAAAATCATGTCTGACAATGCATTTCTGTGTACTGTTCCAGAATATTAAATGGCAATGTACAATAAAAGGAGGCTATGACGAACAGGAGAGTGCTCTGAGAAATCCCACCTTCTCTGACTGTGACAGGGGCTCACTGCAGTATCCGGAAGATGAAAGGTCAGGTCCCCAGGACTGTGTGCTGGGTATTGCTTTTGGAGTTTTAACCTTTCCTTGGGAAGACAATCTGAGGTCATTTTCTGCACTACAGACGGTCCTGATGCTGAGAGCATTTTCAAGAGCTCCTTCACTGACAGGAATAAGAACAGCTCTGCTATTCCCAGCACAGTCAAATTCCACCATGGTGCTGATTGATCGCTGCTTGTGGTCTGCCGGGTTGTCCACTATACGAGCTATAACTGTGGTTCCTGCTGGTGGAGATTCCGGAGTAGGTAAAGGAGTCAGTAGCTGAGCTCTGTGTATAATCCCATGCAATGTCTCTCTCACCTGGAGTACTCTCCCCCCTTCTTCCTCATCCTCCTGTATAGTGTGTGAGCTTCCAGCATCTTCAATAGGTGCAGGTGTATTGCTAAATAAATCCTGGGTGTCTAGGTTTTCCACATTCTCTGGACCCATTTCATCCCTTTCTTCAGCCTGGTCTTTTTTCTTTCTCCTGAAACGTCTTTTTTTTTTCACAGACTGGGGCTCCTTCTCTGTCCCTGGTCTCGATTCCTTTGGCTTCCGAACACAGCTGACAGAATTCCCCATGTCTCCAGTGCATTTATACAGCATTGACAATGCTGGCATTCAAAAAGCAAGAGAGCTCACAGCATCACCTTCTGCTTGCAATTTACACATGTTCACACAGTCTCCTCTCTCATCCCAGCAACTGATGCATGCCTAAGACAGACATCTTACAGACTGAGACATCTCCCTGCATCTCTCTGCAGTGTTCAGATCACAGGCACCTTACATCAAGCATACAGCTGATTGGATGCGGCTTTCTCTGTATTAGTGAGGTAGCTAAACCCCACCCAGCATGGGTTGAGGAGGGGGAGAAATGGCTCAGGAGGGAGGGGAGTAAAGAGCATTGTGCAAAAAAGCCAAAGATGCTACGTGAATCTTATACAAAGAACCTTGGATGCATACACAAAAACTTCAAGTATGAAGGGACTAAACATATTCTCATGCTGAATAATTAGTTAAATGCATGCATTTTATCTATGGAGTTTGTTCATGTCTTTTAAAAGTCTATAGATTTTTATTATAGGATGATAAAATCTACTTAAGACATAAAAAATAATAAAACAGTGGAATAGTTTTACAGGGAAAAAAAAATACTAAAAATCGTGAGAAAAAAAAAAGTGTCTATCCTTTCTCTGAAAGACCCAGAACATATATAGGTTTTATTTTGTATTTAACACACATAATTGCAAATTCTGTTCTGTTTCCGGAAATGTATTAATCTCCAGCATGCTAATGCAGAGACAAGCTCGCCATTTATACCAGTGTCTGCTAACAAATATTAAATTACAATGCCCCTACCAAAGTCAAACAAGCAAATTTTAGGGCTGGTTTATGCAGAAGCCAATACAATCACCAGCATTAAATTCCATGCCTGTCTCAGCACATTCAAAAGATCTAATGAGGCTGCACTGGTGCCAGTCACCAAGAATCCCAATAAACTGTGGCTATTGAAGAACAATTTGTTCCTCATATTCACTGACAGGCTCCAGGAACATGTAAACTGATTCACAAATAACACAAACTGAACATGCAGACTTGTTCTACAGCGACCATACAATATATGAATCACAATTGTTTGCATTCCTAAACTACATTATTCATTACACTTCACAAAGACCTGCATGCATATATTTAGGGGTAAAAAAATTGACAACGTGCATTGGCTATATGATTCTACTCTATCACACATCATTACCCATCATCATGCCACATTGTATCCAAAAAGCTTCATCCACAGAACATTGGAAATCTACATGGTAGAACTCTGAGAATGTATGAGCAGAGGACCAAATGGCAGTCTTACACCACAGGGCTACAGAGGCCTAGTGCCAAAAATACCCAGGAAACTCCAACTGATCTGGTGGAAGGAGAAATAAAAACACGGGGAGATTTGTCCTTGCCAGTGTAAGCTCTAATGATCAGATTTCTTATCCATGCAGCAATGGTGGAAGGAATGGTGGTAAATGGTGGAAGCAGGGTGTTCCTTGTGAGGTTTGAGGAAAGGACAAACAGGGAATGTCTGATTTAATTATAGCTTTGAGGCAGACTCTAATGACTCTGACTGCATCTAGACAATGAAAAGATTTCCTTTGGATGCTTTGGGGCAGGACATAAGGATAACAGGATGATATCCTCAAATGGTGGAAGACTGATACCACCTTGGGAAAAAAGGATGGTCTTTAGAAAGAAAGATCAAAGCCAGAGGTCTTTGAAAGAGGACAGACAAGGCTGAAGCCTGTCTTTTAGCGTCTTTAAAGTGATACTAAAGTCTTGTTTGTTTTTTTTAAAAAAAAAAAAAAAAAATGTCATACTTACCTGCTCTGTGCAGTGGTTTTGCACAGAGCAGCCCGGATCCTCCTCTTCTCGGGTCTCCCACCAGCATTCCTGGCCCCTCCCTCCTGTTGGGTGCCCCATAGCAAGCAGCTTGCTATAGGGCACCCAAGCAGGCCCATTCACGAGCTGCAGCTCTGCGTGTCCATTCACATACAGAGGAGCGACTTGGCCCCGCTGCCGCCTCCTCCTCACGGGCTCACTGGTTGTGACAGATAGCAGTGGAAGCCAATGGCTGCTGCCTCTGCCAATCAGAAGTGAGTGTCCCCGGAGAACCGAGGCTCTCATGGACATTGCTCAATCAGGATGGGGCTGGGGGGGCTGCTACACACAGAAGGTGTTTTTAACTTCATACATACAATGTGTGAAGGCCTTGAGACTTTAGAACCACTTTGATTGTCAAGGCCTGATTGTAGGAAGGCCAGTAATCTCTGGAATTGAAGTTGCCTATGTTCACACCAGGCAAAGAAGGATTTTCTAGGTACAATAATAGACCCTCCTAAAACTTGCTTTTAGTAAGGTAAGAATAACAGACTCAGAGACTTCTATCTTTTAGGACCTGAGCTTCAGAAGCCATGCCGTTAAATCCAGAGACTGTGAAGCAAGATGGTAAAAGAGAGCCTTGAAAGAGCAGATCTTGCTTGTTGGGAAGAGGCAAGGGATTATGTGCTAGATGTATGTGTACCAGGTTCTTCAGAGCCAATTTGATTTTCCTCTCTTATGCTTTCTTTCTGAGCAGACAAGGCAGAATTCATACTGGAAGGAAGGAGAGTCCAGGCTATCTATATCCGAAGTCCCCAATTCTGCCATATCAAATTGAAGATGTCTCAGTTTGAGTCCATTACCCTTGATCCAGGCAGTGGCAGCTATGGAAGTCTGCTTTCCAGTTTTTGCACTCCTGGGATGTGGACTGCAGATATCCCTGGAGAACGAGTTTCGCTTATGAAATTACCAGACTTGCTATCTTTAAAGGATAAATTCACCTTTTAACAAAAAATAACAAATGCAACATTTTTTTGCAGGTAAAAAAATGTGCATTTATTTTTGCTTGTGGAGCCTCTAAAGCATTGCACCAGCGATCAGCAGATCACTAGAGCCATGCAATTCTCCCCCTGAGCCGTCATTATATCTGCTTGCTGGTACATTCCATATGGGCAAGCAGATACTTACAGGATGGCTCAATGATCTACCAAGGCACTATGGAGCACCGTGGTAGTTCACTGAAAACTACAAGCTGACAGCCGCAAAGGCCAATGGCTCCTGCTGCTCTCAGTGAAGCCTGTGAAAGAAGTACAGCATTGTTGTCGGCGGGGACCGTGATGAATCGGGAGGGGTGCCAGGTAAGTATTTAGGGGCAAGGGAGGTGAAGAAGAGCTAAAAAAAAAAGTTTTGCCTTTATAATCATTTTGAGCCAGGATTTTGGGTGAAGTGAAAATTCTGTTTGGAATGATCCAATCATCATAGACTGCACACATTAAATCTGTTAATGAAAAGAGAGGTTTTGAAAGATTTTGCAGGTTTCTTAATACTCAAAGGGGCATGGCAAAACAGAAGAGAATCAAGCTGCACAATGCCAAGACTCTTGTGGATAGCAGCAATGAGCCTTTTCGCATTAGCAAGAATGTTACATGAAGCTCCCTCTTCAATATAGCAGCATACTGGGGAAGATACCTCTTCTGCAGCTTATTCCAAACTGCCGTGGGGTTCTCATCATTCCCTTCTTTCTGTGTCTGCCTTGTCTATGGCATGCTTGTTGGAATCTGACTGACTGGTAGATAAATGGGAGTAGGAGAAGAGGTGTGGCGTTTTTCAGCCCACAGCAAAGGGCCCTAAAGCCATTATATGCCCAAGGAATTAAGATAATAAGACTGTGAGAAATAGGCTGTTTGTTGCGTGCCTGAAAAAGAGCTAAATATGCAGACATCGGTATTAGAGTCAGCTCCTGCTCCAATGCAAAGGGTGCAATATCATTAAGATTGAGTGTTGTGCAGGCCTTTGGCAGAGAAAACTTTCTACCTGTGGTTTCGCAATGGATCCTTTTCACTTGGTCTCCGCCATAGTTACATGTAAGGGTATTACCCTGTAGAGTATTCACAGATTTGGGTGTGGAATAAAGGGTAAGCATATGTGTAAGGAAAATGCCATCTTGTAGTGAATTCTAAGGCAAAAGGGTGGGACGAAGTGTACCTTTTATGGGCTCTAGGCAGAAATGGCAGTGAAATATGT